TTTATAAAATATACGATAACGTCAGCTTGTGTTGGCAATACATAAAGTGTAATTATTGGTATCCATCATCGCGATTTTCACTCAGTGAACTAATGCGCTCAGGTTGGGACGAAAGTTCAAACTTGGATAGTTGGATAATCATATGACACAGACAACGTTTGTACTGCTGAATTCACTCTTGACTATTGATGCTTGGTTAGGCCAGAGTCCTTTTTATAGTAGTTAAGATCGTATAATATCAGTATTTGCTACCTGAGTGTGGTCCACGCTACCCATCTTTTGTTTATTACGATTAACGAGACAGGGATAGGTAGAGTGCGAGTGAGCGAGAGAAGAGCATAATGTTAATACATTGTATCTTTTCTAGCACGACTGGGCACATAAAAAAGGCAAGTATTTAGTGCGTCTCTCGACTTGTTGGGTATCGCATTCGCATGTATGCATTGCTTTGGAGTTCTCTGTGATTTTAAAATCAGTATTATAACGACGACTCCCGGCTATTTCATTGATTCTTAGTTTTGCTTTGTGATTTGAACTTTGTTTAGTGATTTTACGACGACTTGGCTTTTATCTGGTCTTGATTGATATTGTGTATCAAGATGCCAAGTTTTCAGTATACGGCACAAGAATACGCAAAGATGTATTTCAGTTATGATGAATTCAGAAGCAACGCAAGTGCTGCTGCAGCCCTTTATAGGGAAAGATACCGCGCATCACCCAGATTACCGCGTATTCATCAGAGTCCACAGGTGTTATTCGGAAGGTAGAATACCTGCCAGCGGCATTGGTGGTATGAGCACTGGAAGACTAGCTAATATCAATATACAAGATATTGTGATTAACAAAATGGAGCAAGACCCGTCCACCTCTACTAGAGTAATAGCACGGCGTACTGGAATCTCTAAAACGACCGTCCACCGTGTACTGAAAAAATAAATAAATTTCATCACTACCACATTAGACGCAAGACTCTATAACCGAGAGATTGCAACGCATGATTGTTTTTTTCTGTCGAAAAATACTTGCAAAAATAGAACAAGAGCCACAATTCTTCGTCAAAATTCTGTGGAGCGATGAATCCACTCTTAAAAAGATGGATACTTTAACATGCATAATCTGCACATCTGGCGACTCTCAAATCCGCGTTAATGTGAGAAGAAAGATCACAATACCAGTTCAAAATAAATTCTTGGACTGATATATTAAACGGAAAAATCATTGGTGCATTTGAACTGCCCGAAAACTTATCTGAACAAAGTTATTTGGATTTTCTACAAAATTATCTGCTAAATTTAATAAAAGAAGTGCCCGAGGAGGTGAGACAATTTCACTACCTATAAAATGATGGTTTTCCTGCACATTATGCTGCAAACGTCCGTGTGTATTTAAATGCCACATATCCAAATAAATGGATCGGTCGTTTAGGTCCCATTTCTTGGCCTCCGCGATCCCCGTACTTAAATCCACTAGATTTTTTTACTGGGGCTGTTTAAAAAAACAGGTGTACTTCAAGCCTATTTCAAGTTTGGAGGTAGTGTGCAGAAGACCGCTTCAAAATAACTGAACGGCGCTACACACGATTTCTTAGAAGAACATTTATTAGAAGATGTCGAGCTTGTATTAGAGTCGGTGGCAGAAAATTCGAATATGTGCTATGAAAATAAATAATGATTGATTTATCCACAACTTAATGCTTTTATTATGATGATTCAAGACAAGATTATTAGCTTCTCCGGACTGTGTGTTCGTTTGTTACCCTATCCTATAAAAAAAAATGTATTTTTATTTGAGCGCCTGATACCTGTACTATTAGGTGTTCCAGGATTATCCATTATTTCTGTGACATCCAATAAATATATACATACGTACTAAATGTATACTGATATAAACCCTAAGCAATAAGAAGTACATACAAGTTAATACCATAACTATGAAAACAAATGACGAAGTACACGAAGTAACAGCTACACTGCTTATCACGGTGTGACATAGTTTATTCTGACAAAGTCAGAAATTACATTATTGGTGTCATATGGGCTAGTCCTTCAGCACCTATTTCAAAACAAAACATTTTTTCATTATTCATTATACAGAGAACCAAAAATCATAATTCTTGAGTTTACTTGAGTTATCATGTTGCACTCGATTCGAAACCAATCGAAAGTTGATGTTTTTCAGAGCGAATCGACATGCTCGATTGAGGTTCGCTTACTGTGAAGACACATTAAATTTTAAGCACTGAACTCTATATATAGACCGGCTGTAAGCCGTGACATAATGACGTGATTGGATTTTCGTCATTTTGGCGCTGATAGCAGAAGTGAACGTCCACATAACTAATAATAGAGATAAGACAATGGGACTAAATATAACGATAAAAATTCTATACCAAGGCCTACACGTAACGTTTATTCTATTTATGTATCATATTAAGATAATTCCATATAATAAAAAAAATGTATAAATTAATACCTAGGCCATATAAAACAAAGATTGACGCTGCGTTTTTATTCGTAACTACAGAGCGGATTAAACAGAAATCGTAATAATAAGACAATAGAAGTCGCATAGACGCGTGACCTTGTCGCCGCTATTATGTGTTGACGAACATAATTCACTATTTTGTGATTTAGTTGGGCACGTAGTACGTGAGTTTATAATATTATAATGGTGAACTGCAGCATAATAGTAAAAAAAGTAATAAAAACTCATCAAGAATGTGTAATTCAGCTAATAAAGGCATAGAATTTCATAGGTAAGTTTATTATTTGAGTACTAAGTATCATTGTTTTAACTAATTTACATCTCGATGAATACTTTATGACGATATTAACCTTTGTAAACTTTCATTTATTACTTTTTGTATTGACAAATACCATTGCTGCTTTTGTGACAAACTCGCCAAGCAATGTAATGTGAAACATTAGATTTTATTGTGCATTGCGTATGCTTATAATACGGCTGTAGATGGTGACATCGGTTTTGGAAGTAATTGAGCGCTAATTCATTTCAATTCATTTCTATTGTCTAATTATTACTATTTCTGTGGCGGATTCTGTTCCGGGTTTCAACATTGGGTATGTTAGTTCATTTGTGAGGGTTAAATATACAATTAGTACTGGAAAATATTCTACTGGAGTTAGTAACTATACAAAATAAAAATAAAAACAAAATTTCACAAATAATTTATTGTCATTCAGTTTCAGCATTATAGAAAAGAAATCAGCTGTTAAAATAACGGATATTCGCAACGCATCTACGGTCTAAAATAAACTATCTACATCTAATAATATATTTATATTACATAAAAATTAATGTTTGTTCGTATTTTAACCCGCCGTTGGTCGCGCTCAATTTTTGTAACAGGGTTGGTCACGTGGGGTCAGCAGGTATCCCCAAAAATAAACATGATTTTTATAAAATCTATGGCTTTTTTATAATTAATTTAGGATTTAGTAAATAATTTAGAGTATAAAGAAATAAAAATCACGTATATTAATTTAAGAAGTGTTTATTTATAATTTTTTTAACTATTAAAACAACACAGAAGCTTTTGGTCACGTTTTTTATAGGAATCTATAATAAAAATTATTAAAAATAAAAAATAAATCAACAAAAACTTTTCTTCTACCAAAATTAAATCTTCATAAAGTAGACAACTTTAAGAGATCAAAAAACCTGTAACTTACAATAAAAAATACATAAAACCATAAGCTGAAATTTACAATTTGTATGCTAACAATGCTGAGATACATTTTTATGGGAATCTATAATAAAAATTATTATTAGAGGTTAAAATTATATCAAGAAAAACTTTTTCTCACAAAGTTTAATCTTCATAAAGTAGATAATGATATGAGATCATTATAACTAGTAAAAAAAAACATGCTGACTGTTACAATAAGTATGTTCAGATACATTCTTCACAAATATTTTTGCAGTGCCTAGGGCATACTTTTTTACACTTGTAGCATAGTGTGAAGTTTTCTGGAAAGGGAATATTTTCTGTCCATTTGGCGTGGGCAGTGTACACATCGTCTCTTCTGCGGTTGCGGTTCTTCTTCATCTTCCTCTATTTCTTGAAGTGAGTGAGTTGTTACAAAGCGCATTATTGTGTTAGATAATTCTCGGGGCAAATTTTTCATCGTGCTTCGGCACTTTAGTTGAGTTTCGAATAATGAATAAGCTAACGACTTTATAAAATTCCTCCGCGTAAGACTCGTGTTAGGGTTTAGGCCATCGAATATGATATGCGAATTCACAACTCCAATATCGAGTATAGTAAAAAATATACGCAGTGGCCATCTATAACAAGTACGTGCAACGGAGTAATTCAACTTCAGGCGATCCACAACGTCAACCCCTCCTTTTGTATTGTTGTAAAATGATATAATTTCTGGTAATTTTTCAGGTTTTGCGTCGTTTACTGAAGCATCATTATGCATAGTTGAAAGTAAGAGAACTACTTTATTCTTCTTTGGACAATATGATACTAAGGTACTATGATGCTTGCCGAATCCAAATAAAGAAGAATAAACCACTCGCCCCTTTTTCTTGAAATCGCTAGGTATTTCTCGTTTATTTTTTTTTATTGTTCCAACAATAGTCAAATTGTGCTGCATCACCAAATCTTCAGCTAGTGGAACACTAGTGTACCAATTATCCATGGTGATATTGCGACCCGTTCCAGATATTGGTTGAATCATTCGCTTTGTGATAGCCATCGTAGAATTGTCAACAGCATACAGTCCTGCAGGTTGAACTCCCACATACACATCTAAATTCAGGGTATAAAATAAACGAGCATCAACCAATGCCTGTATTTTTAGGCCATATTTTGCGGGTTTTTTAGGCATGTATTGCCTGAAACTACACTTTCCCTTAAAAGCTTCTAACATTTCGTCCAGTGTTACGTACTCACCAACAGTATAACACCGTTGACAAGCCTGTACAAACTCTTCAAACAATTCTCTTATGGGCGCTAATTTATCTTCGATCCTTCACTCGTCACGGGTATTCCTGTCATCGAATCTGAGATTGCGCAAGAGAAATTTAAATCTTTGTACCGACATTACAGCTCTACAAATATCCAATCCAGTCCCATCTGGGTTGAAAACATCCGAGATACGCACGTGTGATGATTTGTATAAACCAATGAGATATAATAAACCTATCAAAGCTCTTATTTCAATCATGTCTGTTTCAGATGAGTCTCTATTTCTTTGATAATTAAATTTTTGCGATTGTATTTTCTGATTAGTGTAAAGAACAACCTTTTCTAACCATTCTTTTGAAAATAGCAATATCCAGGCTTTTTCAGCAGTAGCTGATACTCTACATATGGCTTTAGGTCCTGGCAAATCCTCCATCCTCCATCTGTAAATTACTTCAGTCCTACCATTTCTTAATTTTCTGTGCACCACGTAACACTGTGAAGTTTGCAAGTGAGACAAGGGAACGTCATCTTCGCTACTTGAACCAATGTTCTGATTTTCCGTAATAGCTTCTGGTTCTGAATCGCATTCTTCTTCTGTATCAGTTTCGTGCTCTCTTATTTGGGGCTCTATTTCATCACCACCTTCTTCATCATCTTCCCTACCAATTACATCTTCATCTGAATCTTCTTCCAACCAGTTTCTAATACGTTCCTCTTGTGACAAACTCATTTTGTACTTCTAATAATAATTGCACTTTTATAACGTCGTTGGTCGCGTGGGGTCAACTGACACCCGTTCACGAAAAATACGTCCGTAGCGTTCAAGTGCACGGCGCATGCTGAATGGTCACTTGTTTGTGTCGCGTATTTAGTCGTTATAGGAAGGTAGCTAGAGTTTGGATGCGATAATAATATCAGTATTTTAAATATTAAGAAAATAAACTTTTGACGGGCGTTTTTTCGCCCCACTCAACCAACGGCGGGTTAAACGCTGCTATATTGTACATCAGATTGCGCGAAGGTTGTAATAGGCATAGTACTGTTACGCGCCTAAGTTGACGTCATGTACCCGGCACTAGCGCCGTCTAGTGTCAGGGACGAGAGCGAGGGGAGCTTTCCAGAAAATGGCATCACTAATCTTTCAACCGACAGCGCCATCTAGTATCAAAACGAAGAACTAAGCTTCTAGAAGCCGACACTCGAAGTTTCGGCGTCTTGTCGATTGGTGCACGTATTTACTTGAATATTCTGGATGTTTCGGTGCTTATGTGTATTTATAGGCGCTGCAAGATGCGATCGGGGAAGTATTGAATTTGGCGAGACAAGCGAAACTTCGGAGCGAAATAAAGTGAATCAGTGTGGTTAATTATTAGAGTTTTAAGTTTTAATTGGTATTAGGTAAGAAAATTGTAAATTTTGGTAATTCAATCGGTAGTTTTTACTGTCACGAACCCTAAGCTCGTAACAGTACAATCAATTTAAACTAGGTGGCACGCGTATGGTACTGACAATTTATTTGAAAGTTATAGATTATTTAATTTAAATGATTGTATGGTAATTCCTTATTTAACATTATAAATTTTCTAAATATAAAACGATATTTCCACAATTATGTCTTCTGCGGCAGAAATGCGCCGGGTGCCACCGAACAGAACAGAGAAGATAGCAAAGAAGATAAAAAGTTTAAATAATACATACATAATAACATATAATACATAAACACTCACGCCTGTCACCCAGAGGTAGGCAGAGACTACAGACTTCCATTTGACACGATCCTGACACACCTCTCTCGCCTCCTTCACATCCATACACCTCCGCATACATGCTCGTCGGTTAAGGGTACTCCTAATTTGGCCCGTTTTCAATAAATCGCCAATTTGGTCGATAAATTTTCGCCTAGGACGTCCCTTTCCGACTTTGCCATTCAGTTCTGCAACATAAATTTTCTTTGTCACTCTTTCCTCATTCATTCTTTCCACATGACCAAACCACCGAAGCATTCCTTTCTTAATCCTGGTCACAACATCATCTTGCAAACCACACTCTTCTCTTATTACACAATTTCTTACCCTGTCATTAAGATTCAGCCCTAACATACTCCTTAACGACCGCATTTCTACTGCGTTCATTCTACTTTCGTGCTTCTTCTGCCACACCCAACTTTCACTACCATACGTTAAATTAGGGACCAACACAGCTTTGTGAATTGCCATACGTGCCTTTTTCGACACATTTTGACTCTTCACAATAGAGTGCAGGGCCCCATTTACTCTATTTCCCGCATTCACTCGTCGTTCTATATCCTTATCATATCTCCCATCCCTGCTAAATACGCAGCCCAAATATACAAACTCATCTACTTGCTCGATCAACTCCCCTTCTATTCTTATTTCACAAATCGTTTTACTTTCTTCTCTTTCAAAAACCATAACCTTCGTCTTACTTGCGTTCACTTTCATACTCCTTTCTTTTAATGATCTGTTCATTAATGTAACCATCATTTGCAACTCGGCCGCCGACGATGCAAGGATAACTCGATCATCGGCGTACAAAAGGCATTTGACGGTTAACTCACTCATTCTTAATCCGAATTCTTCAACTTTCAAATTTTGCAAACAACTGTCCATAAATAGGTTGAACAACTACGGGGAAGCCACACAGCCCTGTCTGACACCTTTATGGATTTCAAACCAGTCCGAGTAGACCCCGTTGATCCTAACACAAGCACTAGAGTCGGACCAGCGCCAACCCAAATGACTTCAGTGTTTGCCATAGCACATCCCTATTCACTCTGTCATGGGCCTTTTCCAAGTCCATGAACGCACAAAAAACTTTTGGTTATTGGCCAAAAACTTCTCCGCGATCATGCGCATGGAAAAGACTTGATCTGTACATCCCATTCCCTTTCTAAATCCCGCTTGCACATCCCAAATTTTTCCATCAGTTTCTTTCATGACCCCTTCAATCAGTACCTTAGCATACAGTTTTCCCACAATGCCAAGAAGGCTGATGCCACGGTAGTTTTTACAGTCCTGCTGCGACCCTTTTCCCTTATATACTGGGACTATCACGGCTTTGCACCAGTCTACCGGTACCCGCTTCAGTTCCCAGCATAAATTAAACAAGGTGTGCAGCAGGCCTGCCACCACTTCCTCTCCAGCCCTTAGCATTTCGAGTGAAACTCTATCATATCCGGCAGCCTTACCCGCTTTCATGCTTTTCATGGCTTTCATTATTTCACCTATATTTATCTCGCTACCTCTTTCCTCTACTTTCGGAATTTCTACTTCACTTAGTACACACGTTGTCTCCTCACTCATAAACACGCTTTCAAAATATTCCTTTCATCTCTTTAAACTCAAAACTTCATCATTCAGAATATAGCCATTCTCGTCTCTTATAGCATTCATCATAGGCTGTTTCGAATGTCCCCTGGCAGTTCTTACAAGTTTCCAGAACATTTTAATATTTGCCTGGAAATTATCCGATATTCTTCTATCATTCTTATCCTTTCTATCTTGCTTTTTTCTTTCAACTACTTCTTTTACTCTCTTATTAAGATGTCTAAAGACTGCCCTTTTTCTTTCAATATCATCATTCGTACCGCTAGAATTACCAGCTTTTGTTGCTAGTAAATCTAGCCACGCTCTCTTCTTTGCTTCAACTTCCATACGTACCTCATCATCCCACCATAACGTATTATTTTTCCTTTCATTCTTTCTCTTACTAACACCACATACTTCGGTAGCTGCAACCACTAAACCTTTCTTTACATTTTGCCATAAATTCTCCAAGTCTAACTCCTTCATACATTATTCATCCAAATCACTTATATTTTCTTTCAGTCTACATTTGAACTTGTTTTTCTCACCTACATATTGTAACCTTTCTGTTCTAATACGCTGTAACGCAGTGGTAGACACAGATGATCGATGGCGCCAACGCCTGAATAGACCATTAATTCGGCATAAAACCAAATAATGATCCATTCCTACGTTAGAACCCCCGGTAAACCCTTGTATCCACCACTGCGCCCCTCAATCTTTCATCCACAATTATTAAATCTATCCTGCTTCTATCGTCACCTCTTTCCCAAGTATACATGTGAATCCTCTTGTGGCGAAAGCAAGTATTCGTCACAAAAAGATTCTTTTACATACATACGGTGAGAAGACTTTCACCATTCTCATTTATACTTTCATCACCAAACGTTCCCAATATTCTTTCATAACCAAGCCTCCTCACACCAACCCTTCCATTAAAATCTCCTAGCATAATAATATTATTTTTTAAAATAACATAGTTATTTATCAGTTTTTACTAACTTCATTTGCGAAATTGAAATTAGGACATTAAAAACCCTGATAAAAAACTTAAAACTTAAATAATCATATAGTCCTACTCCCCGCGGTATAATGAAAATAAGTTGCCTGCGTTTCCTATCTGAAAGGCTATACTTAGCCTTTGAGCAAGAAAATAACCAGCCCTCTTAAAGTCTATGTCTTGTAAACAGAAAGTCATCATCAGGCAAACTTTTTACCCTTGGCTATGACCCTTGAGTTTGGGGGAAAATAAGGAGAGAAGAAATAAAAAAAACATTCAAAATAATAATCTAATACTTTTATACTTACTGGTATTGGTACTACCAGAACTGTGGGTATACCGCACTTATTCAAAGTGGTGTGTACTCACGTATAATAAAACAGTCATCTGTGAAGTGTTTCGGAAGAAGTTTCGGACGCCAATTCACAATTTTTATGCTTCTTAGCCATAGTTTTAGTTTAGTTTACGTAGTAACACACCACTACAAATACTATACTTTTCGAAAATGGCACTTAAAATTAGTAAAATAAGTACTACTCGTATAAAACACGCTTGCGCCAATCGCATGCGTTGTCTATCAGATACAGTGAAGTGCGCTAGCACAAGGTCGGCCACCCCATGCCCCGCAATACTTCCACCGTTACCCTGCACAAGTACATTTGTTTCCCAACTGTAAGGTCTAAAAAATCTAAACATACAGTACTGCTCCCCGTGGTATAGTACCAAGAAAACTGGCAGCGTTTCCTTGCTGAATGGCTTTACTTAGAGAGAAAGACTTGAGCGAGAAAAGAACCAGCCCTCTTATCACCAGCAGTATGTAATTTTTTTATATATTTAAAAAAATATGTTATCCGTGTTGTTCTCAAATATGTAAAATAGATATAAAGATAGTATACCACCAAAACTAAGCGGACACCTAATTAGTAATCTCCATTAAAATTAATATATTATATGAAAGAAAACTTTCCAGTGGAATAATATTTAGATAGTAATATTTGGGTTAGCCACCTCTTTTTTTAGTAGATATTTACGGAATATACGATATACCAGTATTTTGTTATAAAATGTTGACAATGACATGAAACTTGTTTTCGTCTGACAACGGTATTTGCTTGGACAAAGTAACATCATAGTGGACGGAGCATTTTGGTTAGATTGTCAGGATAAAATTATAAATACAAACGAGTGATTATGCCAATTAAATAAATACCGATTAAGTAACGCTGAAATAAATAAAATGCGTTTTAATTGGAAATCTACTATTTAATATCTTTCTTCCTTTTTTTCTTCTTCCTCTTTTCTCTCTTTTTTGATTACTTGTGCAATCACTATCTGTACCATAATGATCCACATCCTGTGAGGAGAGTGCTGGTGCTCTGAAACACAGGCTCTTAGCCTAGCTCG